AGGCCAAGGTGGGTGGATCACAAGGTCAGGAGTTCAAGGCCAGCCTGACCAACATGGTGAAACCCCGTCTCTTTTTTTTTAAAAAAAAAAAAAAAAGAAGAATCTTAGGAGCAAATGAGTGGGGAAATGTGTGCCGCCTTCCATAGGCATCAAGATTCTTCTTTCCTTTTATTCCTATCTCTATAGATTCTTAGCCTAAGATTTTAACAGAGAATATCACAACTAACTATGGGAACTGGGAATTACCCAGCAGCTTTCAAAGCAGCCTACAAATGATGGTAAGCCAAGGCTGCCCTCTGGCACCCTCCTCTGTGTGCCCAGGCCACATATCACAAATCATCATGGCTTGTATACCCTTTGTATATCTTTTTTTTTAAGTTCTCAGAATGCAGCAGGCACTTTGAAAACATTTGTGTATTCAAAGCAAAGTAAAACCAACAAGTTGATATGTGCATATTTGAGAAAGAAACAAGCAGACCAAACAGAAAACCTGTGGGGACAGGGTTTCTTACCCAGCTTCTGTTTAGAGATTGGGACTACACAGCTCTTGCTGCAGCCAAACGTGCAGCATTTCTTTACACCTGGACATGTCTCATCAGTGATGCACCGTTTCAAGCAGGATTGTTTCCGAATAACCCTAGGGCAATCTCTTTTCCTCCCTGTAGCAAAAAGGGAGACAGCCAAGAAAAGAGAAATAACACCCACAAGCACAGTAGAAGGGAAAAACAGAAAAAGGAAGCCCTGAGCTTCATTTCAGCCTCTGACCCTGGTGCTAAGGCAAAGACACAATAATAACAACAATAGTAATAGTAGATATTTACTGTAACATTTACTGATGTTTACCTCGCGCCATGAACACCTCATTTGATCCTCACAATTATCCCCATTTTATAGATGAAGAAACTGAGGCTAAAAGCTTAAGGTTTACAAAGAGCTAAGGCTTATTTAAGGCTTAAAAAGGTCTGCTTGGCTCTAGGGTCTACTCTCTTAAGGATTATCTTTTTTTTTTTTTTCTTAATCATTATCTTAAACAGCCTTCCCTTTACAACTCTTCCCTTCAGCCTTCACAGGAACTTTGAGTCCAAAGTAAAAGACACAGATAATCAATGTATTCTTTCCTGATAGAAGGCAAAGAACTGGGGGCCACTGAATAATTAATGGAGGAGGGACCCTAAAAGAGTAAAGAAGAAGTACTCTAGGCAAGCTAGACTTCAAGAGTCAACCTAAGAGGTGGGATGCTCTCTGCTTCTATCTATCCCAGAAGCAAAGTCAGAGAGTACACCCAGATTTTGCCCTTCATGCCAACATACCCTTAGGAATGTCTCGGCAGATTCGACCACAGCCTGTGGTGCAGCACTTCTGCCCAGCCAGACATGATGCATCACCCTGGCACAGCTCTTTGCATAGGTTCTTATCAGGAGGGCATTCTCCCTCTTTCACTGCAAAAGATATCATAGGAGTCTGGGGTAACTAACCAGGCCTCAGAAAATGGGGAATAGAGGCCAAACTATTTCAAGGACATTCAGCCCCTCCAGACATCTCTATCCAAAGTATTTCTGCACCACTACACTCTAGCCCGGGTGACAGAATGAAACCCTGTCTCTAAAAAAAGAAAAATTCTGGAACCACCTTTCCCTCCCAGCACACAACTACTAACATACATCCACCACTGCTAAAGGAGCAGCCATCCTGCAGATAACGAGAGAGAAAGGTTGGAATGATCCTGTTCTCATTTAATGAGTTCTAGGGAAAAGCTAGAACCGCTAGTAAGCCCAACTAGAAGTCCTATCTCCTTGTCCAGAGAGGGTAAAGAAAGCCTGGAAGAACTACCCAGGCCATCCTGAGAATCTGTTCATCCAGTCCTGTCCTACAGATGATCATCTCCACCTACGAGCAACCTTACTCTGGGAGAAGGCAGGGATGACTTCTCCTCTCCTCTAATCACTTTCTGTTACTGTTGGCCAGGGATCCCAAATGATAGCTCACCATGTTCTCCTGCAGTTATCCAGGATTCCAGGGACCCAAGAGCAAGAAGAAAGAGGCAGCTTAACATCATGATGATGCTGAGAGTTGGGATGAGAGCTCAGTTCAGGCCAGAGGTGTACACCTTGCCCGGAGTATTAGATGAGGTATGGGCAGGACTAGGGATGGCCCCAAACCCAGACCCAAAGCCTTCCCTTTCGCAATATGCCCCAAGAATGTCTTCTCCTGACAAGAAGAGGGATTGGCTGCAGAGTGTGGGAAAATTCCTGGCACTACCAAAGGGCAAATGTGATGGGAGGATCACACTCTTTAAGCAATATGCACAACACTCCTGGATCATGAGGAACCTAGTGGGTAGCTGGAAAAATGGAGGGATGGCCACTGCAATAAGAATCAAAGAGAGCCCCAAAGGGCATTGGAAGGACACGGCTTCAGCCCAAATGACAGACGGAGAAACTAAACACAATACTTAAGAAAATAGTCAAAGCTGGTAACATAACCAAGCATAATAAAATTGTGGCTCCTATTCATCCCAGCAACCTAGAAAAGACAGAATGGAACAGACCAGTCAGAAACTATCAAATAGGCCGAGCTACACGGATCACCTGAGGTCAGGAATTCGAGACCAGCCTGGCCAACATGGTGAAACCCTGTCTCTACTAAAAATACAAAAATTAGCTGGCTGTGGTGGTGCATGCCTGTAATCCCAGCTACTTGGGAGGCTGAAGCAGGAGAATCGCTTGAACCCAGGAGGCAGAGGTTGCAGTGAGCAGAGATTGTGCCACTGCACTCTAGCTTGGGTGACAGAGCAAGACTGTCTCAAAAAAAAAAGAAAAAATAAACTAACAAAATCCTACAGAAAAGCAGTAGTTGAGTTTGTTAAGAACTAATGTAAAAGCACCAAACACCTGCATCTTTGTCCCTCTAGCCCACACAGGCCATTCTTGGACTGTATGAAGGCCAGCTGGCAGAACCCGAGAGAACAGTTGCTATGTCTGACTCAAATAGTCCGCCCACACATACCTCCTTTTTCTTTTTCCTCTATTTCTTTTTCTTTATCTGTCCTGCTCATGCATTTGGTCAGCTGTGACACCTAATGGTGTCTACTGGCACTGCTTAGTCCTAGGGACAGAGGATATTCAAGGTACAAGGTAAAAACCTCCTTAGTAGGGCCAAAAAGTTTGAAGCCAGGAAGTTGCCCTTATTGTTATAAGGCTGATGTGGCCTCTGGAGATAATTAACATTTGATGATGACCTAACATGCGCCTAATATGCTTTTTGTTTTGAGACAGAGTCTCCCTCTGTCACCCAGGCTGGAATGCAGTGGCCTGATCTCAGCTCACTGCAGCCTCTGCCTTCCAGGTTCCGGCAATTCTCATGCCTCAGGTTCCCAAGTAGCTGGGACTACAGGCACCCAACACTACCCCTGGCTAATTTTTGTAGTTTTAGTAGAGATGGGGTTTCGTTATGTTGGCCAGTCTGGTCTTGAACTCCACCCACCTTGGCCTCCCAAAGTGCTGGGATTACAGGCATGAGCCACCATGCCTAGCCTGCGTTATATATTTTAATCCTCACACTTATCTTGCAGAGGTAAGAAAATGGATTCAGAGGAGCTAAGAAAAAATGCCCATAAGTGGCACTTACTGGAATTTCATAATAGTAACTACAGACAGCATTGTTTGAGGGTTTACTCATGCTAGTTTTAAGCACTTTACATGAGTTAACTCACTAATCCTCACTACAACCCTATAAACTAGATGTTGTTATCCCCATTTTACAGTTGGGAAAATGAAGGCACAGAGTTTAAGAACTGTGGGTCACACAGCTAATAAGTGGTGAAACAGAGGCAAGCAGTCCAATTCCATAGCCAGTCCAATAGCCAATTTTCTTAGCCACCATACTATACCAAATTTTAACCCAGATATTTCTAACCGCAAGACTCATGCAATTTCCACTACTCTTGTATTGTGACCTGGGAAGAGTAACAGGCTCTACCACCATAAATGGATCCAATTATATTCAGGGATGTCTTACCTCTGAGACAGAGCTAAGGGAACCTCTGGAGAACTCCACCTTGTTAAGTCCCTGCAATCCTAGCCCATCCCAGAATCACCTGTCTGGGGACAGAGGCTCAGATCTTCGGGGCTGGTCAACACGCAGCCTTCATTCTGGTGCCTTCAGACACAAGAGGCAGCCACTGCGGTCAAAGCCTGGAGTGACCCAGTGAGTGTTCTGGGATGGCACGGACTGGAGGCCCCTTTGTTGAGTGCCTCAATCTTCGCATTAGGCCCACTCCAATGTTGGAGGCTGAGGGTCCAGAATATTAAAATCTTTTTTTTCTTTTCTTTTTTTTTTTTTTGAGACAGAGTCTCACACTGTCACCCAGGCTGGAC